GAGAAATTACAGAAATGGTAACCATGGTTTTAAAACAGCAAAATAAAAATTTTATTTCGCTAGCGGTTTAAAAATTTTATGGTGCTACCGGATAAACCAAAGCTTTAGTGGCCTACTGACGGCAAAATAAACGTTTGTTTACATGTCAAAATTGAATAAAATTTATTTATTTTACTTTATACTATGTCAAGTTTGACGTTTTACTGGATCGAACTATTCCGGTAAAATCAAAAAAACGGACAAGTCCGATAAAATTGAGCCAAAAAGGACAAGTGTTCCATTTCCGGAAGCGGCCACTGACCCTTTTGGGTCTCTTTTGCTTTACCTGTTATTGTAAATACAAATGTAAATTTAGTATTTCTGTAACCGTCCTGTATTAAACATCGAAACCGAACGCTGTCTATTATCTCGCACGCAATAAAACAAAAGTCATTGGAGCAATATCAAAGTACAATTCGGTATCACTTTGTCGTATCAACCAGATTACAAAAAATACTGGTAGGACGAGCCGAGTTGCACAAACATTGGTCCTTCGAGACGGATTGCACAAAACATTCGTCCATCGAGTCGGATTATACAAAACAATAAGTCCTGTAAAGTGTTATAAGTACTATGTGTTTAAACATATGATGCTGATTTGCACGAATAAACAAATTAAAACATTTACCAAAGAGCGGTTGCTAACGATGTCAGAAAAAGTGACTCGATTTGGATTTTTTCTCAAAATAATAATAATTTTATCGAATAAAAAAGTATGTTGACAGTATGAAATAAAATAGATAACAACATACGTCCGGTAACTATTTTCGCAGTACTCGTTTCGAAATTAAAGACTCGGCTACCTACTCGTCCTGAAACATATCACTCGTACTGTAAAATTTGAGCTACCGGACCGGACCGTATTTAGAATAACTTTAATTACCATTTATGTTTTCATCAACACTAACAAGTATTTAAAATAACAAGTAATAATTTGTTTGTATTGTTTATTCATTATAATAATTCCATTTATTCACCAGAAACTTTTAAACGAAATAAAATCTAATCGACTAGAAATAACGGCAAAGTTGTGCTAGGCTCATCTGGCAACGTTGCAAATTATATAAATGGTTACTAAGAGATTTTTACACATTGTTTTCGTCGCCCTCTGTCGAGTGGTAGCTTTATTAAATGTATTGTTGCTGTGATTTGGGTTATCTACGCGCGCGATTGGTGTCCAAGCTTTTCGCCGGCGTTTGACGGCCGACTGTTGGTGCGCCATCTCTTGTTCGCCGGCCGTTGGCCTGTTCGCTCCAAACAATAGCATGGGTCTATCTATATGTATTTAATCAATGTATCTACATATAGGCTATATAATATCACACTACGATCATTAGGAGCGAAGTAGCAATGAAAAATTCGGAAAAACTGGAAAATTATTCCTCCTTTGACAGCTTCCGTTGCTTACGCTGCTTAAACGGTTAAAGTTACGTAAAAATCATGTATGACGAAATTGTTCCCCTCTATAAAAGTTCTAAAGAAAAGTCCGCGACAGCATATGTTTATCTTTTAAGGTCGAGTCAGTATAACCTTTTTTATGGTAATGAAATTTGTTCTAAAATAATAATGCATTATGTATAAAATTTTCGCGTCACAGTGTTTGTAACCGAACTTCTCCGAAATGGGTTGACCGATTTGTATGAAATTTTTTATGTATATTCGGTAGGTCTGAGAATAGGTCGTAAACTATTTTTTAAACCCCTAAGTGATAAGGGTGGCCCACCCTAAAAAATTTTTGTCTATATTTTGGACAAAATTTTTTATTTTTATTTTTTTAAGAATTGGCATCAAAAAATACACATAACCCTAAATTTTCACCTTTCTACCACCAACCTCCATTTTTTAATCGTCTATATAATAAAAATCAATTGCTGTTCCTGTTAGTCTCGCTAAGCCTCAAAAACGGCTTGATCGATTTGAAGAATTTTTTATATTACGGGGATGGTTTATAAATAAAAAAAATAAGGAAAACTTAAAAGAACAGTTAAAAAATTAAAAAATTCTAAAAATTTTGTATGGGAATCGCCATCGCCACTTCGAATTAATTTCAATAGTTGACGTTTCTGTCGTCTAACTGACGTGTCATACAAAACTAATTCTTCCGTGCAATTGTGAAAAGTATATTGCATTTCAAATCGTTCTTTGTTTTTTCGTAAAAAAAAAAACGTAGTTTATTTTAAAAGTCTTGGTTAAAATGAATTTAATTACACATTGCGAAAGTTTCTTATTAATTTTAATCTGCCATTCTATTTACCTATATTCACTTTGTTGGTTTCGACAAAACCTCAAACTTTACCGTTATTCGAGGATTTAATTTGAAGTTTTCAATGTTTTAAAGTTCTCAAGACAAAATGTACAGATTTGACTGACTGTGAAAATAATTCTGTGTCGTTTTATGAAGTTCATTAAAATGCCGAGAAAACGACAACCTCACATAGGTCCACGAAGTCAATCAAATGTGCGACGAACTATCTCAGGTGCAAACCGCAATGATTTATTTCATGGGTAATTCGGATATGGAAGTTGATCAGCGTTGTGCTCATAATCAACATAATCAAACATTGAAGCGAGACATTGGGTGGTATGAATAAAACTGAGTAGAAACTAATATTCGAAGTACGAAGTACCTACTTCATTATTACTCTTATATACCTGAGCATCTACTCTATGTAGTGAGTACCTACTTGGAAACATTGTATATCCCCGGACACAAATTGAACATCTACCTACGCGTTTTGTGAGCATTTAATCTAAAAATGAGCATCGGTGGTGGCAAATGACTGAGCTGTCTGTAAAGCAGCTTAAAAAACGAGTAGGATCGTTGTAAGAGTGAATTTTGACTAAACATGGCGACTTTCATGAACGTGGAACGTCGTCAAAAGGTGCATTCAGTTTGAAAAACACATTAGGAGCAGGAATATCGAAAACTTTTCAGGTAATTAACTTTTATTTAAAATAAATTGTGCAGTGCATTTTTTATAACACTGACCATAGGGATTCCCATCTCAAGGTGTCTACCCCATACTAACTTATATTTTGGTGACTCGATTTTTGCTTTGATGGTTGAACACTGTCACTGTTGTCCTTTTTTGTTGTATCGAAATGCTACTTGGGCATTAACTGTTACCTACTGAAGTATTAATATCATCTAGAAAAACTAGAAATATTTGGTTTGATATTCGAGTAGATACTTCGTATTTCGAGTATGAGCATCTACTGAGTTTTATTTATTAAACCATTGTCAAAAAATTGTTCGAACGTTGTTTCGACAGAACTTCCTTCGCACCAAAAGCATAATGAAACATATTCAGCATTTTCGAGTTGAGTCTTTTCTTCACACAATTTGTGATGACCTAATCAACATTTACGATTAACACGTATACCACCTTGGATTGGTGCAGTGTAATACTTAAAATAACTGTATTGTATTCCCAAAATTATCTGCGAAAATCGAGTGAGCCGTTCCACCAATTTTTTGGGGGCAATAAATAAATATTCTTAACAATTTACCATGCTTACAATAACTTTAAAACGTCTGCAAGATCTCAAAGTATTCATTTTTGCAACTCTTGAGTTATTCACTAAAATAAATTGACTGATCCATATATTTTTTTGAGTCACTGTAAAAGCAAATTTAAAAAATATGAATGCAATGATAAATTACGAAAATATACTGATGATATTTTCTACATTTTAGATAGGATTTATTCGGCAAAATCTTGAGATGACGTCTTCAAGTTTTTGGGCTTGATAAACAGATATATTTTGATTGAAAACCTACCATGTCAAACAGTAACTTCAAAACCTCTGCAATATTTCAAAATTCAGTTTTGCAATTCTTGATTCAATCAATAAAATAAATTGACTCAGTGATTAATTTTTTTGAGACACCCCCTATAAGCAAAACTAAAAAATATGAATGGAATCACAAGTATAGTCTCATCCTATTTTGGACATTTTAGATAGGATTCATTTGGCAAAATTTTGGGCTGGCGTCATCAATTTTTTGGATGGAGTAAATATATTTTGAATAAAAATTTATTATGTTTATCATATGTTTAAAACATCTGCAAGATTTCAAAGCATTCGATTTTGCAGATTCAAAATTAAATTGTAGGTGAAACGAAGTTCACGGGGTCAGCTAGTTAATAATATTCGGGCACATAACGCAAAGGTCGACAAAAATCGCCGAATATTAGGCCGATTGATAATGTGCATAAAATTTTGTGGAGTGTTTGAACTTATTTTACGTGAACATGACGAAAGTAGGGAACCACAAAATCCAGGTATAATCAAGGTCTGATTGATTTTACGGCTGAATTGGACTCTGCTTTATCAAATCATATGAAAGGATCAACGGTTTTTAAAGGAAATCCTTTTTTGTATTTATTTCCGTCACACAATTTCGTCTATTAATTGGTAATAACAACCTTTTATATCTTCATATTTAAACTCATCAATCAAATTGTGTCTTCCCATTTCAAAAGGTCACGAGCCGCCACTGGAAAATATACTTAAACAAGATAACCAACGGGAAAATGAACTCTTAGTAAATACAATTAAAATTACATGGTTAACTTCGAGTATTTATGTTTATACTTCGAAAGAATTCGACTATAATCGCGTACAACGATCAGCGGCCGCATAAAAGAAAATTAAATTTGATTGATTTTGTCTCCTTAAACCGAGAAGTGGTAAAATGGTTGGAACATTATTTTGAGTGACCTGTTATTGTAATAATTAAAATATTTCTTAATTTGCTTAAAAAAAAACAGATGGAACGAGAATGAGATTCGAACTCATAGTGCAAACATTATTCGAAAGCAGACGGAAACGGGAGACTACTTTTTTCATACTCTAGGGGTCACAAAACGTCGAGAAAACATAAAAATGGCCATTCATCCAACGGACTCGATTACTATACTTCCTCGACTTACGCTCTGGAAGTAAAAAATTACATGTTTGCGTTACCATTTTTTTTAATCAAAAGGAAGACAACAGTTACACTTTTATATTAAAATATAATATCCTAAAATACAACATTTCGTATTAATAAATACATGAATATAGCACATCTTAAAATATATAATTTAAAAAATTAATAAAAACGTTAGCGAAGACACGTCGATTAATAAAAAAAGGACTGTCAGCAATTAATACAAGGCAATATCAAAGGCACACAACTACCGATATTAGTCGAACTTTATTTAATCAATTCCTATCCTTCAACGCTTCATTTTATCCAAAATAGGCACAATCATGTCGAACTTCGGCCTCTTCCCGGGATCCTCGTTCATGCAAATCTTAATCAACTTGGTCAAATGCGACGAAATCCCCGGTTTAATCGTAATCCTTAACCCTTCCAAGGCGATCTTCATTCCAGCTTCCATCGGATTTAAATCAGCAAAAGGCACTTCTCTCGTGGCTAACTCCCACAACAAAATCGCGAAACTCCACATATCCGAAGCCTCCCAGTTTCGATCGGTAATTTTCTTTTGCAAAGCCTCTGGTGACATCCACGCCGGATGATAAACCCTCCCTTTTTCCTGGAAGGAGAATTTCGCATCCGCCATGTTAATTCTAGCTGTCAAATCGTCGTCGATGATCACGTGACGACTGTTCAAGCGATACTCCGGTATAATACGTTCCAGGCTATGCAAGAACGCCATGCCTCTAGCAATATCGACGGCGAAACGTAAAGCTTGCGCGTTATCGACAACGACGCCGCTGCTTTCATGGAGAACGTTATAAAGCGATCCTAGCGACATGTACTGACTGATGACAACCAAATATGGCGGGCTGTTGCAGCATCCAATCACCGGTAAGATATTAGGATGCGAGAAAATCCTCAATTTGGGAAACTCATCGTTGAAATCGCGTGATATCCGTGAGGTGACTTCACGTACGGTTAATATTTTGGCGACAACGTCGTTCTTTTGCCAAGTGCCTCTGTAAGTTACACCGCTAGGTGTCGAAGCGATTTGTTCGCGGCGGTAAAGTTCTTTGATGTTGATGCCTTTATGACGGGATAATGTGGCATCACGTGAACGTGTTTTCAAGCCCAACCAGCTCTGGTCTTTAAATGTTATTTTTTTGAGGTCTTGACCTTGTTCCACAGCTATGTCGTGAAGACTTTTAGCTAAACTACCTATAAAAAAATAAAATGTTTGTAACTGGTTTTAGAATTTTCTAGGGTTGTAGTTACCCCTGGCTTTGTCTAGAGGGGTGTCACCGTACTTATTGGCAATGGATACTTTAGCATCGTGATGAACCAAATCCTCTGCGATTTCTTTATAGCCCCAGAAGCAGGCATAGTGGAGGGGAGTATTTCCGTGCTCGTTGGTGAAATTCAAGTCGGCTTTTTGACGCAACAACTTAAACAAAATGACAATTTTAAATATGATGTTAGGTAGGACTGAGATCGAGGGATAGCCAGTTTGATTGATAAAGGGCAAGACTTTTTAAAAATGTGGTGATCAGCATTATTTCAGCGAGGATACGTATGTCAATTTCGACACGTGCAGTGTAAAGCTAATAACAAAACACCGGGGTGTAGCGTTACCGAGATTTGATCAATCAAAAAATATATAATAATAGATAATCCGTTTTTCTGTGCCTTTTAGAATCTTCTAAATTATGAGTAACCGAAAACCCTAATAAAATGATATAAGGCAATAAAAAATATATTTTACTTTTTTTTTAAATATACGTAAATGAAACATGTTTTTCAGTATTGTGTTGTAAAAAAAAACTATATATGTACTAAAAAAAAAAAAAAACACAAAAATTAAGTTCATTTTAAGATTTTTAACTGTTCATGGTTCTAATTCAATTGAACTACCATATTGTAAATGTGGCAGGAAAGTCACTTAGTTATTTCAAAGTTCTGGATGCTTTTATTTAAGTTATTATATAATCCACATTCCATAACTTCTCACATTAAATTTAAAATAGTTAATTTATAGCATTTCAACTAATGTACAACGTTGATCCATTCTGAGAAAATGGACCTTGGAAATTATTATCTATGAAGTTAATATCATTGTGGGTTCAAAAAACGGGAGGGCTGTATTTTTTTACAGACTCAATTATAGTCAACTGCAAAAAGACATGTAGACGCGAAAGTGTCCCGTTAACATTTTTTTAATTTCGTTCCGGGTGAGAATCAGGATGCGAATCTTGCAACACAACGACATGCTAAAAACTGAGAAGGGCTCGATCGCCTTGATCATAGCCATCGATCCCGTCTTTCCATTTGTCATAAAAAAAAAAACATACAACGTAGGATTCGATTTTGTTAACAATCACAGTGCAAGGCCAAATTTTGGATGTTTCGCGGTTTTAATATTATATGCACATGTCTTAATTTTGGGGGATGTTTGGATTTTTATGGTTTAATTTACAATAAATAAAAACGAAATGAACATAAAATTCTATTTTTTATTTGTAATATAACAGAATTTTATGTTTAATGTTTAATAAATTTAAAAACTACTACAAACAAACTGAAGTAACTATGGTGTGTAACTTTCAAACAAAATACTCTGTTGTGTATTTGCAATCCAACAAGTCATTTAACATTGCGGTGACCAAATTTGAATTAAAATTTCGCGCTGAAAAAAAAAACAACGGCGCGAAATCGTATTTGAATAAGTTAAATTTGAAAAAAAATTTGATCAAGAAAATCGTTAAACATAGGCAACCATGCGCAAGTCTAGTTCTTTTCCTGGTAGTTGGTAACTCTTCTAGGGGAATTTGTGGACTAGTATCTAGTGAAAGGGTTGGTAGTGAAGTTCACTTGTTTGCTAGAGGGTGGTGACGCGGACTGTTGTTTGTTTGGTGTGAGTAAAAGCACGCGGTAAGAAAGCTAGATTAAGTTTAGTTGGTTTGGTGGTTAATTAAAGGGGGAGCCTTTGTATAACGAAAATTAATCGAACCAATGACGCCAACACGTGATGTAAATTTGATTTAATGGTAGTAAATACACAGTTCATGTTAGGATTTTAATCGTTACTGGTTCTAATACAATTTAACTGGAGGGAGAGGGAGATTTTATGAGATTCACTTAGTCAGGGGTGAGTCCTGACTAAGTGAATCTCATAAAAATTGTTTATCAAGTTATAAATAAGGTTTCTGGATGCTTATACTTAAGGATTACATTATAACGTAAGTATAAAGTGCGGTAGAATTCTTAATATCGTAGACTGAGGGACGGGGGGATTATTTTTCCCCTTAGGTAATTATCATCATCGAGACGGTATATCTCGCGACGTGGGAAATTACACCATCGAGACGTAATTCTCGCGACGAGGGATACATTTTGTGTTTACCTATCATGTGTTTGTTGGGATATCATCTAAGATGTGAAAAAAGTAAAAACAATAACGCTAATCGTAACATTTTCTTATCCTATTTGCTATAAAATTTGTGGTCTAAAATGTTAAAAGTGCTAAAACCAGTCTCATCTTATCAAGTACTAGCCCCACCCTCCCACCCTTTATTTTCTTAGAGGGTATGTCATTTGCCAAAATCAGTCTTATCTTAACAGGTACTAGCCCCGCCCACCCACCCTCTATTTCCTTGGAAGATATATCATTTGCCACAATTGATCTTTTCTTAACAAGTACTAGCTCCGCCCACCTCCCTGTTCTCTTTCTAATGACTATTTTATTTTTGTTCCGTATAAAATCATTCATGTCATTCAAATCGCATAAAATCAATCACTGAAAAGCAGACAGGGTGGGTGGGCGGGGCTAGTTATGTTTTTGTTTCGAGTAGGAGTGCAAACTAATAGAATTTAGGAGGTAAAATATAAAAAAAGCGCTAATCGTAACTTTTCTTCTTATACTATTTGCTATAAAATTTATGTTCGAAAAGGTTAAAAGTGCCAAAACCAGTCTCATCTTATCAAATACTAGCCCCACCCTCCCACCCTTTATTTTCTTAGAGGGTGTGTCATTTGCCAAAATCAGTCTTATCTTAGCAGGTACTAGCCCTGCCCACCCAGCCCCTATTTTCTTGGAAGGTATATCATTTGCCACAACCAAACTTTTCTTAACAAGCACTAGCTCCGCCCACCTCCCTCTTCTCATTCTAATGACTATTTATATTTCTGTTCAGTATAGAGATATGTTCTTCTGTCGAGTGGGAGGGGAAACGAATAATAGCATCTACAGGGCTTCCACACAGATGTTGTGTTAAAAAAAGCGAAAAAAGTGAGTTCGGCTGGGAAAATAGTAAAAAAAAGTGAGTGTTACAATTCAGCTAAAAATTTAACTCGAATTATATATATATAAATTTACGCTCGAATTTCTTCAAGAAGACGTTTTGATTTTTTTATTAAAAAAATTGGAAACAATTGTATTCTTTTTTGTAAAACTGAGAGTTTTTTTCACTTTCGCGTTCTTCCTCTCTAGGGACAAGGCTCCGTCAATAAGGGCCTGCACAATTCGTGCTTCCATGGTGTTATTTGCCGCCAAGGCAGCTTTTAGTCTAATATTGTTTTTATTCTTTTTTTATTTTTTCCTTTTAAACTTTATTTTTTTTTCTGTACCATCGTTTCATCTATTTCTTGCAAAGTCTTTTTCGGTTCTTTTACAAGCGCCTGTTGTTCAGCAGCTAATTTTCTTCTTTTTGCTGGATCCCCGTTCCTTTTCTTTCACTTTTTCCGCGTCCAAATAATCTTGATAAAGCCTTCTAGCTTGACCTGCTAGAAGGAAGAGTTCGTTTGCTATATAAACAGTCTCTGGTCTATTGTCGAAATACTTTAAAGCATCTGCGATAGTTAGCCTCGTATTTAAAGTTCTCACCGACATATTGGTTTTTTCTTCAGTTAGTATTAATTCAGAACCCTAAATCCCCTTTCCACGGAAGCATTCCCATGGCTTAAACAACATGCTGCTAGAAACATGCTTTTTACATTTTTTTTATTTTTCGACGTTCTTCACCCGTTCAAAAAATGTTATCCAGGAATTGTCAATTCTATCGGTCTTTTCTAATGTTGGTAAGGTTTAAAATTTTAATAACCTGTAATCTTCTACAGCGTTACCTGGCATGATAATATTTAATGTCTCACACAGTTTAGAAAAATATTCCAAAGCGTATTTTTTTTTTATTACTTGGGGATCAATGGATTTAAAATACTTCAGGTTTTTATTCGTTAAAAGACAAAAAGAAATAAATAAATTTGTAAATTGAAAACCAAAAAGATTTTACAGAGAAAAAGCGAAAAAAGTGAGTGAATTGAAAAAATAGTAAAAAAAGTGAGCATTCTTGGAAAAAGTGAGAAATAGTGAAAAAAGTGAGTCTGTGGAAGCCCTGGGATAAGCTGGGGACAATCCACGATATAAACTCTCAAAGTTAATTGTTTTAAGTAACCAGTCACTTGGATCAAGGTATAACTTAACATCGCGGAAATTTTTTCTTAAAATCTTTGATAAGGTGTGGCATAATTTAACATGATGTAAATTCTTTGTTTGAATCGTTGATAAAATGTGGCATAATTTAACATGATGTAAATTCTGTGTTTGAATCGTTGATAAAGTGTTAACATCATGTAAATTCTGTTTGGCATCGTTGATAAAGTGTGGCATAATTTAACATCATGTAAATTCTCTGTTTGATCGTTGATAAAGGGTGGCATAATTTAACATCATGTAAATTCTTTGTTTGAATCGTTGATTAAGTGTGGCACAATTTAACATCATGTAAATTCTGTGTTTGGAATCATTGATAAAGTGTGGCACAATTTAACATCATGTAAATTCTGTGTTTGGAATCATTGATAAAGTGTGGCATAATTTAACATCATGTAAATTATTTGTTTGAATCGTTGCAAAAGTGTGGCAAACATTAACCTTATGTAATTTTGTTAGCTTTGCAATTTTTGACCTCATGCAATTTTTCTCTATCTCACAATTTTAGTCTCAGTAATTTTTTTTGCTGTATAATTTTAAATTGAACGTAAATATTTTGTTCATTAATTCTTCTATCATATAAATTGTCTGATATCCAATCTTTATCTAAGATAAGAATTCTTTGCTGTTTAAAATTTCACGAGAGTGTGTGGCGAATTTAAATGTTGATTATTGCTTTTTTGAAACTTTAACACTTGTTCAGTTGTAGTTTAATATCAGTCATAGAATTTGATCATTTAAAATGAAATTGGGGTAAATAACACAGAAACACCTGGCGGAAGCGGAAGGCGCAGTTCCTAGTCAAGCTGGCGAATTTATCGCGCCACCTGCACAAAAGATGCAGATCTTGCAAAGAAGTCAGGGGAGCGGTCGGGATGACGTAACGCTCACGACTAGTTCCAATAGCAGGGATTTCCAACTACGAGTTTGCGACCCTAACGGCCTGTTGGCGTGCCACGTTTCTTCGTGCTATGAGCGGCATGTGCTTACCGATAGAATAGAATCACCATCGTGGTGGGAGAACAGCCACAACCAGGAGCCCCACTCTTATAGCGCTCTAGTGCCGCTGTCCCTGTGCGCCCCGCTGCATAGTTTTATTAAAATTTTGTTCTCTTGTTGACTGCCATAATTTTCAATTTGCCGCCACACGTCTGTAATAACTTGTGTATTTGCATCCAGTTACTTTACTTCAGATTTTTTCTTTTACTACATTAAAAACAAGTTAGACACGTTTTTTTTTTATAGCTGAGAACTAAGAGGTCTTCAAGTTTAGTCGCAGCTTTTTTTTCTTTTTTTTGTCAGAGGAGGAATAAATGATTTTGTGTCCTTCATAAACATATTTTGTGTTTTATTTGACGGTACTTTTCCAACCGTAGGGTCCATCATTTACATTTGAACGCATCCCGCCACAAAAACAACCAAACACAATATAGGGTTCCATTTTGTTAGACGATCACAGCCAAAGCCAATTTTTTGAATTTTTCGCGGGTTTTAAAATTTTGTTCACAAGTCAATTTAAGGCGGGATATTGGGTTATCCCAACATTAAATTTCAAATGTTGCTAGGTGACTTTTTTCTCGATCATAAAGTATTATTAGCTCAATTAGATAATAAAGTAAAGAGATAAAAAAACAGGGTTGAAAAAAAATAGAATTATGATTTTTTTACATCAGTTTTTCAATTATGTGGACTTAAAACTCTAAAAGTGGGAATCAAAATCTAAGCTCAGAAGTTTTAGTCATGTTTATTTAATTTTTGACAGCTCTCTATTTTAATTTGGTTAGACAATTTATTTTCATTTATGTTTGCAAAATTTACTAGAATATTTTTTATCAACGTTTTGTTACACCTTCCCCTTCTTTCTGAAATACACTCCAACATATACAACTTCTTCGAAAAATTATAAAATTTGATATTGTGATTTTTTATAACACTTAAAAAGATGGGGGCGGATTCATAAACCGCAAGTTTGGGATTCCACATGTTATTTTATAAAATTTAAATAGCAATTACTACGCAAACATTTTTAAGGGACGTTATCAAACTGTTGGTGGAAATGATCACATAAATTTTGGTTATCGTAAATCGAAAGACGAGAGACGAGAGACGACAGCCATTCAGAAGGAATCTAATCGTGTGAAAATATCGTATGTTAGATTTAGAAACAAATAACTTTCAAACGAAATACCCTACGTATTTGAAAATAATATTAAATTGCAGTGAAATTTATAAGACAACGCCAAAGGATTTTTTTGTATAATGCACAGGGAATGCGTAATCTTCCGCCGCCAGATTATTAAGACATCCTGTACAATTACATACTTGCATAAATGGAATACTAGTATCCGCTGGTACATCCTGCACAACTAGTAACTACATACATACATGAATGTTGATCTTACACATTGTGAATATCCTCAATAACAGAGCAATTAAGTACTTAACAAACAAAAATGATTTGCTGTATTATATTTATTGAAGGCTTGCGACTTTATAGGTGACTTTCTCCTCATCTCAGTCATTGTTTTACAAAATACCTCATTTTTAATTAATGTCTTTTATCTTCAGTGGGGCTAAAACAATACTCACCATAAGCACAATATCCCGATGTCCATGTGCAGCTGCCAAATGCAAGGGTGTGTCATCACCCCGATTAGTGGCATTAACTCGAGCCCCTCTCTGTAATAGCAGTTCCACGATTTTTGTATGGCCTCTTTTTGCAGCCCAGTGTAACGGACTGAAGCCATGGTCATCTCTAACAAAAATCAACACATCTGTAGTACAAACAAACCTACACAAAGCTTGAATTTAGCGCGTTCACATAAATCGCAATTATTTAAATTTTGACCTCGTGGAATTATTACCGCTCACTTGAAGCACATGTAACAGCATACAAACAATATCCCACTCTGCGAACCGAAAATTGTTACTCAATGGTTTTAGCGCTGACCAAATAAGGAAATATCAATAAAACTAACCTCAAATTTGTTACAAAGATTAAACTTACCCCTGATTCATGTCATGTTCGGTGTCGTCGAGCCACACTCTCACTTGTAGAGCGTTTCCGTCCCTGCACCACTGGAAAATATCTTCCATATTTTGTTAATAGCGAAAATTCGGATAGAAATAGTAACAAATGGGCGTTCACTCTGACACCATTTATGAGATTCTTTAGCGTTTTCACTTACGCACTGTTTATTTACTTAGGTTAATTGAAATGCTTACTAATGCGGAAATTATCAACCACAGTAGCTGATAAGATAAGAATTTTTCAGGAAATTATCACATCAACGAAATTATGTCACTGTCACTTAGCAGCCATTTTTTACAATAGTATTTGTATGTACTGCGCAGGCGCATGTGAATCATTTATATGGCGGGAAGATTCGGTTTAAATAATAAGTCGTTTAAAGCACATAGGTTTAATAAACTTTTTTTGTTATACACATTTTTGGAAGTAAATATATGTACAAGTCCTGTTAGCGAGACCAATTATAAAATACAAACTGCAATAAATAACAAAATTAGTGGGTAAATAATGATCTACCAACGTCTGCACCAAACTATTGTGAATTTGAAAGTAATAGGTGCGTATTAGAGAGCAACAGCGTAACATCAACATTTTTATCTTTTTTTTTCATAGACTTTCAATTCTACCAACTGCTCCACATACACGTCTGGACTGTTTCACAGTCGTATCTGATCGATATGTTTAGCACTGACTACACATACACTTCCACAAAAATCTATATTACTGTTACATTTTAGGGTTCTAAAACTGCCAAAAGTTGCTATTAGAAAAATAATTGTTCATTATGTGCTTCTCATATTCCTAAAATTTCGTTTCTTTCACAAAATGTACACTAACAAAAATTAAAACATTAGGTACCTAATTAGAGAAATTGCCTCACAAACCTGTATACTAATCACTACACATTTGTCTTGTACGCGAAAAATAAAAAAAAAGTGATCTCACTGACAGAATCAAGGGGAGGGTGTAAAAAGTGTAATTTATGTCCTCACAAAGCTATACAAAATAGTTCTTGATGGTGGTCAAGAATTACATTGTCTATAAATAAAAAAAAAAAACAAGTAAATAATAAAAGTATCACTTTGTAACAATAAACAAAAAATAACATATACACATAAATCTTCTGTTGTATTTAAAATGATAGCAAAATCGTTACATACAAAATTCCAAACACCCTCTTCTGTTCAATGCAAAATCACAAATAATTGGCAGTAGTTTTTCCTTACCCCATTTTGTACTAACAATTCGTCATCGATTATATTTACAATAAACCTACTCCAAATACAAGTTCTCACAATTAACGCTCCATTAAAAATATCAATGTAAATACAACAAAAGATACATAGCTTCTCACAGCTCAAAAGCAAACAGTGTAAAACTGCTTCAGACCTATAATACACAAAAAATTACTTATTTTTAGAAAATAACTCTACTAGATAGGTACAGTGAAGACGATAGAATCATGAGAGCACTCCTTCAAGAAAGGTATGTATGATTTTTCACGCATTATTTTTTTAAATTGTGGTTCATTTCCTAAAAATAAGTGCTCGTTTATAGCGATTAACTGCCGCTGCATTTTAAGCTATCATCGACGAAACAGTGGTGCTACATTATTTCTTTGTCGGAGTCCCTCTTTGCGTGAGACCTTCGAACCTCTTGAACGTGTAATTGATGAATACCCAGTCTTTGTAATTAACTTCTCCGTCCTGAGGCATAGGCGCAGAAGCTGAAAAAATAAACAGAATGTTTTACTTCTGTCGCAAAGAAAAAGTTAAAGAAAATTAATTTTCTCTGTGTAAACACAATTTAAAACAAGGGCTTCTACAAATGTCAACTGTGAAGGTCCTTTTTCGACGTTTTCTTTCGCACGTAGTCTGCTCCTGATTGCGCCAACGCAAACATGAATTCGCTCTTTTAAATCATGAGAGGGTACAACAAAAACGTTTTACCGTTTCTCCGGTAATAGAATAATTAATTAGCTCTTACCAAGTCCATTTTTAGATCATTTCCGTCATTTCAAGCATCGACGACTTTCTTTAATGAATTTGCTGACGTTCGAATTGTAAATAATACTGTTCTGAACGACTTCCAAGTTCAAACTTTTACGAGTGGAACACGAATTATCTAGTTCATCCCATTATACGAATTTAAATTATACATTTAAATGGTGACAGAAAATTAATCGCTATCAGATTCAGAAGTTTGGCGAGTCGGAGAACGAAAATAAGTAAATTTTCGTTTATTAGACAGTGCTTCATCTTTCGTTACACACAAATATTAAAATTTTCAACACTGTGAGTAATAAAACTTTTTTCGTGCCGCCTACCACTTCTGCGTAAACATGTATCAGATAATTAGAGACAAACTTTGCTTAAATTTCCCCAGGGATTTTATTGTGTCGTATTACCCCAAATTATCAGTTAAAATACAACTCCTACTTATGAAACATGAAACCCGTGTTTACTTACGAATTTCAAGCTTGACATCTGGAAAGTCATCAAAGTTTGACGTATCATCTATCGACCTAACTTCTACAGGTATCGCTGCCGGCCTTTCTCGTATATGCTCCCAGTCGACCCCCCTAAAGAACGGAATTATTTTCAAATCTTCTATACCCTTTTGTGAACCCAATCTTCTTTCGGCTTCACAGCAAAACCTTGAAAAGGCAAACAATGAGTTAAACTCAACAAGATTTTATAAGGGTACTTACTTAATAATAGTATCTTTGGCCTCTTCAGAGATCGGAACTTCAGCGGGAAATACCAGAGTTTCCCTCCAGTTCATCACTTTACGATAAGTGTCTTGAGGATTTTCAGAACAAAACGGGGGGTAACCGATAAGCATTTCGTACATGATGACGCCTAGCGACCACCAATCACACGCCGGCCCGTAACCAGTTTGGAGGAACACTTCGGGGGCGATGTAGTCGGGGGTGCCTACCGTACTATACGCTAAAGCTCTTCGGTTTTTCTTCCAACTTTCTGCTCGCCGTTTACTGTCCATCGGACTAGACGTGATTACTGAAAGAATGAATGAACACGTTATTTCTAAACAGTCTTCCTTATTATTTTTATAAAAATAAACCGCTGAAATTTATTAATAAAACATCGTTTATTAAAACAGAGTTTATTACTTCCATTCACAACTTAACGCACCGTGTGCAAAAAATTCGAAAAAATAAATGGTTTCCCATTCTCAGAAAATACTAAGCGTTCGCCTTTCCGAAAATATACAGTTCCGTGAAAAAATGGAAACATTTCGCTTTGTTATCCCAATAAAAAGTTCAATGACAAAATGAGTTAATATAATTAAGACGTAGTTTTGTGTGAGGATGTTTTGGCCAATTGCACGTGGCCCCTTTTTTTATTAATAGTGGGCACCAATTTAATAATGTCCGTTTACGATTGTATTATTTAAAGTAAATACACTGTAACCATCGTAGTACAAAATTTAAATTAATTAACTCAGGTGACGAAGTCCCCTGAAGGATTTTAAAAATAATTGGTCAAATAAAACTGGTTGTATTTGCTTCTAATTAATCTCTTCATTAAAAGGTCACTTTAGAACAATTTTTGCATTTCAATTAGGTACACAAGTCGCAATCTCTACGTAATACTTATAATTATACCTACTTCTGATCTTTCTTTGTGTGTGTTTTCTATTAGATTTTTCTTATTTACATCAAAATTAAATTCTTCAACCTGGTAAATTAAAACTAAGCACAGAGCAGAAATAAAATCCTCGTGTTTTGTCTACTAAATAAAACTGCACTACCGGCAAAAATACCGTCTTATTATTGAGGTGTTCCACCACCCAGACGGTTTCTGTTACCGAGCTAGAATTACCACATTATAGTCAGTTTCATTCACTCAGAGTGGAAAATCTCTGAAAGCAATTTTGTCACTGACTATTTCTTTGACCTTTTGCAACCTCATTAAAATTCTTGGTCTACACTATTAAAATTATATTGAAATAAAGAAGCAAATTTGTTGCGTGAATTAACAAGTTCGAATACTTTCAACATGGTTTCGCACATAATAATTCAAACGTTTGTTCCACATATTTTTTTCTATCTCGTGGAAACGTACACGCAAGCGCAACAATCATTTCAAAACTTCAAAATAACTGACCTTATTTAAATGTTATTTTAGGAAATTTACTGCATTTCAATGATATGTATTTAAAAACTGTGCTGAAAATACTTCTCGTGACAACTGCAAAAGAAGTTTGTCTGAATTCCTCGTTTGATTATTGCTCTCGACTTCGTCTCAGCTGTTGAATTTTAAGTAAAACTTTTTAAGTTCATTGCACCTAAACAAAAAACTATTTCGCCAAGACATTATTGTCATATTCCAATAGAATGGAAAATTTTGATGTTCGTTTTCGAATTTCACATTCTCCCCAGGTAGAAAATCCATGGAACAACTTTTACTTCAGCACGCTGTGCTACCACTTAACGTCATCTTGTGGAAGTGATGAAATAAATATTAATGTTATGTAATTAAATATATAATTTTAAAATATTTCATAGAATTCGGTTATCAATCGATCGACGTGAATTGTGTAAGAAAACTGTTAGCGGCATCTGTTAAAATTTCAATTATTTTAATTATCTTATCAGTTTTTAATTGTTTCAACTTTCCGAGCGTAAGTCAAGTAAAAAATTGCAACGGGGCCATTATGACAATATCTACGATTTCAATCTTCGCGACGTTTCACAACGAAAATATCAAAATCTCTGGTTTCCATTTATCTGCTAGCCGGTTTGAGTTTTTGTTTGCTTATAAAAGATTCTCGATGAAAAAGTTAAACTCAGGCCCGCCCACCCACCCGTTCTTTCATTTTTTTTCTTCAGAAATAAGAAATATACGTTATAGCAAATTAAGTAGTACAACAAAAAAATTATGATTGACGCTTCTTTTAAACAACCTACGTTCTATTAGTTGCCATTCTCACTTTATAAAAGAACATATAATTCACCCCGCCCACCCACCCAGTTTCCATTTGAGTGATTCATATTGTCTAGTCCGAATAAAAGGTGGATCTCAATTGAAGAGAGATAGAATCGTTAGAATGAGAACAGTGTGTGTGGGCGGGGCTACTGCTTGCTTATAAAAGATTCTGTAGAAAAAAGTTAAACTTACCCCCGCCCACCCACCCGTCCTCTCGTTTTTTTTTATATTATAAATATATTTTGATTAACAAATTACCATGCTTACAATAACATTAAAACGTCTGCAAGATTTCAAAGTATTCAATTTTGCAATTCTTGATTTAATCAATAACATAAATTGACTCTGACATTAATTTTTTTTTTAGACACCCAAGCAAATCTAAAAAATATTAATGCAGTGATAAATCACAAGTATAAACTGATCATATTTGGCACATTTAAGATAGGATTTATTCAGCAATATTTTGAAGTGACGTCATCAATTTTTTAGGGGGGATGAGCAAATACATTTTGACCAAACATTTTTTTGCAGTTCCCGATTATGCATTCATTAATTTTTTTTAATCACCCTATAGTATAAGTAAATCCAAAAAATATTAGTGGAATAGACTCATCATATTTTGAACATTTTAGATAAGATTTATTCGGAAAACTTTGAACTAACGGCATCAATTTTTTGGAGGAGATAAGTAAATATATTTTGATTAAAAATTTATCATGCCTATCATAACTTTAAAACATCTGAAAGATGCAAAGCATTTGGTTTTACAGATTTAAAATTAAGTTCCAAAATGTTGTTCTATAATTTTGATGTTTTTTCCAAAAATCTGGAAGTTCGAGTAAAAAACTCAACACGAAGTGATAAACTACATGTGTGGGGACTATGATATGTTATACAATTTAAAATCCATTTACTATGTACAATTTTGAAGTGACGTCATCACATTATTGGTGGGGATGATTAGACAAATTTTGGTGAGCGTTTTACCACCTACATGATATTCCTAATATAAATACAAAATTTCGCAACAATCGGCCCAGTACTTTCAGAGATTATCTGTCTAATAAAAATATAAAAATCCGGGACGCCAAACAGGCAGACAGACAAACAGACGGACAGGCAGACAGGCGGACAGACGGAAACGGAAGACCTATTTCTTCGTCCTCTAGGGGCCGTGAAAGGTCGAGAACACGTAAAAGTATAGAGTCGGCCGACGGATTCGATTACTATACTTCCTTTGCTTACGCTCGGGAAGTAAAACTGGTCCAAAGTTATTTAAACAGAACTTTCTTCGCCCCAGAAGTACAGTCCACTTCTTCGCAAATTATAAAATAATCTGACGAATCTTATTTTTTATAATAATCCTTATAAGTTAAAATAAATATATCTCTATACGGTTAAAATACAGGTAAAGAAACATGCTACCCAGAGGCGTCAATAATACCCACGCAACCAGTCTGCACTAGTGCGGACAATATGAAATGCATTTAAGTCAGATGACCAACTCAGCAAAAATGTATTCTCAATACATGTTTCACTTGGACTGTTTATGTTTATACTTCGAAAGAATTCGACTTTTAAGCACATACAGATAACAATTGTCAGCGGCGGCACTTGTGTTACAAGGAAATGACGTCTGATTTATTTTGTATCCTTGAAACAGAGAAAAGGAGTAATGAATTGATTCATTAAACTATAATGGAGGAAAAGGGTCCGAATATTATTTTGGATGGGTATGGCAATTATTTTATTAATATTATTAAATATAGACAGGCACGACATTACTGTACCGCTCTTGATTTGATCAATAAAACAAAATTGGAAATGCCTGGAAATTGATTTCGAAGTAAGCTCGCGATTAACTACTCTGAGACCCCCTTGTAGGACTTTTGTATTTTGTAAAAAGTACAGGAAGAATTAAACGATTATTAAAATTATAATAATAAACAAAAACAAGGTGGATTCATAAACCACAAAGTACAGGAGTACATAATTTCAAAAATTTTAAATATAAATATAAAATTGTTGGTAAGGATGCCTAGCGTTTTATATGTATACATATAAAATTTGACAACAATCGGTCCAGTAGTTTCGGAGATTATCTGTCTAATAAAAATTGACACCGACGATAAACAAAAGCAAAGAAAGACCAAATTATTCGTATCCTAGGATTCTAGTACAAAACTATCGCTCGGGAAGTAAAAAGTGGGTGGCTTAACAAAATTTCCTTCGTCTACACAACCAATTCAACAAGTCCAGTTTCTTAGAAAAAAAATAAAATTTGATTTCTGTTATAACCCCTCGAAATTAAAACAAAAATAGGTGTAGACTACAAAATTACTAGTAAAGAAGCATGATATGTCTTTTTTTAACGATATTTTTTTAATATGATTTTGTGATGACCCACCAACATTCATTTGGATAGCAGTATATGTAATATTAATAACAGTAGTACAATGTTTCAAGAAAATGGGGTAAGCTGTTTCTGAAAGCTTGGTCAGTTGCGCGCCACGGTCTGAAAAATATGCAAGTGGTCCTAATCCCACCGGACAGTTGCGTGCAATGCAAGAACAATTTGCATACAATTTTAGGTAATAATTAATTATTTATCAAATATGGATAGGTATAGAATATTTTCATTGGTCTTCAATTTTCTACCGATAGGTTCATCTTATAAAAAATAAAGCAACCCTTATCATCGCCTATTTGCACGCAAGTTTCCTATGACCTTTTTTGGAGATTAGATCTGCCACATGAGATAAACTAACCACGGCGCGCAAGTGACCAACACCCGTTTTGGATTCAGTAAAAAGAAATACATTACTTCATTAATTATTTTTTACACAATTCTAAAGAAATACGAGGAAGAATAAACTACAAATTCAGAAGCATGCATTTCTCAGCACTTCAAATAAGATCGAAGTGCCAAAATTTTGAGATGACGTCATCAAGTTTTTGGAAGGCATGCATAGATAAATTCTTATTACCAGTTTATTTGGGTCATAACAATGCAATGGATGATGTAGTTTCGAAGATAAAATTAAAAAATTGTTTTATAAGGCTGAATGCGTAACCTACAACAAACTGCAAGTATAGAAGCTTATTATCTCGCACATTTTAGGTATATTTTATTGATATCGTCGCTAGGCGACGGATACTTAGGCCGGAACGGGAGACCTACTTTTTCATATTGTACAAAGTATGAAACGACCAGAAAACACTAAATTAGAGTCAATATTAAAGTAGGTTCGAAAAGTAAAAAGGTAAGACACAGTTATATTTCACACATGTGTTGTCTTCCTTTTATGTTTTCCAGCAAATTTTATTTTAGAGAATTTCTTTATTGCTAAATTTATTCAGAATAATTAAATATCCTCAAACGAAATCGTATGAAACAAACAATACCGATGATTACGTTATAATTTTGACAGAACCAATGAAACAAAAAAAAAAAAAAGCCTTGTAAAATGTAACCGTGTAAATGTAGTGCATTTGTCAAACTGTATTCCTAAATTTTTTATCAAATTAAGGACCCACTTGTTTCCTTTCGTCACTGATAAAAAAAACCTCAAAGTATGTATTTAGTGAATTTGCTTAAACTAAGAGCAAAGTGTCAAAAAAAAATTAGATATTGTTGGAAAGACTAATTAGTTACCGTACAAATAGTGGCTTTTTAATCTTACTTGTTGCGACAAATAGGTACGATGCTCCAATAAAAAAAATGTGCAGCTGTTGGAAGTTTTCCCCCATAATTCGCTCGTTTGTCTTTTCAAAGATTTAATTAAAGAATGGCACATAATTTATACTAGAGGTACGAAAACCTACTGAGAAAGCAACATTAAAAAACTTTATTAATACTAAAACTTCCACGTTCAGTAATTAAAAATTTCAACATTTTCATTCCTGTATTCTAAAAGTCCGAAGAACATTACAATCGTGTTACCTAACATCACCCAATCACGTCCAAGACGGTAAAATTTTCATAAAACCCTTTAATAAAACAAAAATTGAACTTACTAAAGTCCGACGGCTTCGCTTGGCTCAGATCCCGATAAAAATCCGTCCTGTGTGACTTCTTCAAACCCGTACACAATCCAAAGTCGCTCAGCTTCAAATGTCCCTTCGCGTCCAATAATAAATTGTCCGGTTTGATATCCCTGTGTATAAATCCTAACTTATGTATCGAATCTATCGCCAGCGCCGTTTCGGCGATATAAAATTGCGTAAATTCCTCCGACAACGTGTCCTTCTTCATCAACAACGTCATCATATCACCTCCAGGTAAAAACTCCATAATCAAATAAAGATTAATGGGGTCTTGAAAACTATAATACATTTTGACCACCCACTGGTGGTCGGCTTCTACGAGGATGTCGCGTTCAGCGCGCACGTGCGCCACCTGCTCCTTCTCCAGCATATCGGCTTTCCGCAGGATCTTCATAGCGTACACGTGACCGGTATCTTTCTTCTGGACTAGACGGACTTCGCCGAAAGCTCCTCTGCCTATCACTTTCAAAGGCTCGAAGTCTTCGACGCCAAGGCGGGACCGCTTGAGGCGGAGGAACTCCGTCTCCTTTTGGGCGTGCTGGAGGCGTTTCTCATGTTTCTGCTCTTCGGAGAGGCTGTCGTCTTTCAGGGATTCTTCAAGTTTCGCTAACCTGCAAAAATATAACAGAGTTTGAATGAGGTCGAAAGGAAGAAAACAAGTGAATAGAGGCAAATCGATGGCCCACATTGTAACTTCTACGTAGAATAGGAAAGTTAACTGTTAATTTTACAATATGCAGGGTGATTCACGAGTAAAAATGAGCTTAACCAATGAGTTTCTAGCAAAGTATCCATAATTATAAAGAACGGCACATTTTTTACAAGTTGTATAAAATCTATATTAAAAAGGATTTGTAACTCGTACATTCATAGAACGTATGAAAACAGTTTCCTTAAGCCTCTCGACTTTATTAAGTATGTAATATTTTTGTAATAAATGTTCGTACATTGACAAGAAAATATACAGAAGTTCGAAACTACTGCGCAATATAAGTTTAAGGTACAATTACACAGTCGTAAGTTTGCTACATCGAGCATGGCAAATAATAAATCAAATCGACCGAGATTTACGACATGTCAACTGCCAGTTTTGTAAAGGTTAGTGACAGGTCGAATTTACTTGTAATGCTGAAAGGTGAAAGTTGTACGACAAATTTATTAAATGTTGGAAAGCCCACCAATCTCGCTTAATTCTTGAATTGCTAAATTATTCAAATTTTCACGTAGGTAGTGTTAACTTAAGGACTTTAGTTTGCCACAACTGATAACTAAGAAAATCACTTAAAAAAAGTTGCTAGTCTTTCCGTATCTTTAATGTATTTATTGTTTCATCACGCTTTACAATCCAGCAGAAATCTGTCGTTATCAAACTACTATAGAAACTTGATACCAGTTTCCATTGTTTACATTTTTTTCAGTTTATCACCAACTTCACCAAGGTTTGAGAAAAAAAAATCTGCATATGAATGCAGAAAATGAGGCTAAATGACATTCGTCAGCTCATTTTTGATAAGTACAAGGTTCTAGATGTCATCGCTAAAATTAGAAAATTGAACCTTTTCCAACTTAAAACATCATTTTCCAGTATTCTTAACTTCAACGTGTCTTCTTTCAAGTTACGTTGACGAAATAACTATAATGTTCAGCTATAGAACAAACTATCCCGAGCCATAAAAAGCAACACAATTTCATAAACCTTTTTACTTATTCAGTAACATTCCGATCCTCGTTAGATCTTCACAGAAGTTGCGGTGAACCCATTATAATGTATTGCCCCCAATAAAACTTTCATGGTTTCGTAGGTTTCCTTTAAATATATATGATATGTGTATTGCCGAATGAGCAACCGAAATATAAAGTTTTGAAGTTCTGTTTAAACTCCGCTGTGACGAATCAATAGAATCGTAATAGGACGGACTGTATTTGTTTTAGTTCATCAACGACGCCAGTCATATAAGAAAAGATCAAAGGACCATTAACTTCAAAACATAAATAGACTATAAGCCGTTACTCTGTATTATAACTAGCGAAATTTGGCGCCATGTTTCTGATTTTTTTTTAATAGTAATGCATGACAGGAAATGGTCTCGAACAAGATCATTTGATTAATTACTTCTTTCGCATATAAAAAATCACTGCCATGTTCTCCATCCACAAGGTAGTCGTGCCGCAGAGGTTGCACAATATACAATTTTGTTTTATTTTTTGCCGAAAACCCGGTAATAGTGACACAACAAAAATACCAGTCTCTGACTTTTGAGCTCGCGAACAGCCAAAAGCAATCACGATTTCCTTCAGTGCTCCCAATCTGGCAAAGATTTACATAGTATGTCAGGCGACCTTCCTAACAATAGAATGCAATTCGTACAACTTCTGAATTTGTTGTTATTGTAAATGTTAAGTTCTTGATGTAAAAAACTTGCAATGATGATGTTAGCGTCAATTTAGCTAAAAAATTTGGTCCTCGAGAAGCACTTTCTAACGAAGTGTAAACATTACAAGAACGCTGTGAAAAATGCAACACACTGACGAGTATTTTATTTCTGAAACAAGGAGTTGGACAATGTGTTGCTGGCTGCATTTAAAATTCATCAAGCTCATTATCTCTCATAAATAAATGATTTCCATAAATCATCACTTGCATTAGTGCTATTAACCCGAAAACGTTTCATACACCAACGTGTCAGACTTTGTCGGTGCTTAACATTATATTTTTCGCAATAAACCACAAATTTTTATTTGAGAACTACTTATAGCACAATTGCAGTTAATATCTTGGTTATTTTCCACACCTACAACCATTTTTCGTTAAAAGACTTGACCTGTGCCACTTGAGCGGGCTTTGATGAATTCCAAATGACTACTTTTGTAAGTGATAAAATATAACGTTGCTATTTAAAACAGCTTCTTGAATTTTAACCGTCACGCTCCTCGCTCTTGATCAATACACCATTATTTGTTGTCAGAGTTTGACATATGAATGAATTCATTAAGATTTAATGCATTTATACTTTCAATTATTCGAACAGTTAGCTCATCAATGATGCGATTTATCTATTATTATTGAATTTATTATTCAAAATAATGTTAAGCTTTCTACTTTTTGAATAATTAAAATAATTTATCCCGCGACACGTGCTAAAATTACAGTGATTTGTTCGCAAAATTTTTACACTCGAGTCATAGCAATCAATAAATCAGTCTTTGCATGACTACGAATCCGCAAGGTATTATTATATCGTAGACCAACAACCGTTCGATAATTACTTCATTTCACCTTATACTGCACGAAACTGCATTATCAATTCATATCCAATGTGTATTTTTGTGTATCCCTAATAAAAATTGACATTTAAGTGGGTGACAAATTTCAAATAACAGAAAGTTCCAAAGTTTGGAGATCACAACAGTCAAAATGAGTTTATTTAATGTCACAAAAAAGGTAGCAAAGACACTTCGAAATCTAGCCGGGTTTATTATGTGCACAAAATCGATGAGTTTTCAGCAGTTGTGGCTTTTGCGTTAGAACGCTGCGGCAGAGATGGTTTGCACAGGTCCTCGCCGCCGTCCGATCCAAAGCTGCTTTTGGTCCTATCGGCGCATCGTTATTACACCCTTTTTTTCGGCAAGCTAGACAATTAATTCAACAGTTTTACAGTTTTTGCAAAATTAAAGTTAATTAACGAAACTACAATTCAATACATATAATACGACATCTGAACGTCGCAGCCTTAACATTTTACGACTAGTTTTTATTATGTTTCAACAATCGCAAAAGTAATGTCAGAAAAAAACGCTTTTGGCACCTTTAAAAACACTATATATTTCGCTTTACTTACAACAAAAAAATCATTAAAAGCCCCGTTATGTGATGATTATACAAAAGGTAACTGATTTTATTTTATAAATTTTCAAAATTCTATTTTCTCCATCGTCGTCAATCCTTTTGAGTCTACAGAAGCAACATCGGGAGTTTTAAACTTTTCACTATTTTTTATTTAATCGGAAAACGCTATTCTCTCAACTTGTATTTCCATTTACGTTACCGGTTTCGAAGACCCCCATAAGATCAGAGATACCGTAGTTCACGAAGAAATGCCTAAAGGAAAACCTAGTTCCAAAGTTCGCGAGATGCACGCTACCCAACATTTTGAGCAAAAAAGTCAAATACAAAAGGAGGAAAATACTGAAATAAACTCATACGCCGCCCCGGTACGACGCCTATGGATTTTCTAGTATGTGCGGCGATGAGTTTTACCCAAGCCGATTTTTAATCACCAATCAACGTAAGACGTTATAAAACTCATTCAGCATACCAAACTTCTGATCAAAACAGAGGTGAAAACAAAGAAACTATTGAACAAACTAAATAGCTTGAGGAGAGAGGAGAGAACGTAAAGGATTCAAAGCCAGACACAACACATAAATTTCATGAAAGAATGAAAAACCTCACGAACAATTTACAGAATTGGAAATGAAAATGTTAAAAAACAAGCAAAAAAATGGAAACATCAAGGACTAACTGCTAGCAGTACACACCGACTTAGGGCCAGTTTGTAGAATATTTTATCTGAGGTTAGGTTAATCACGCATTTAACGAGGCGTTTAGCGACGTCTGATTGGCGTAGAGTCGGTCACTTTAATGCCGCCTTAAAAATTTAATCACAATCAAATATAATAACAATAATATATATTGAATGGTCCACAAAGGATTAAACAACACTTTACAATTAACATATGTTCATATACATATAATTACAAACTAATAATAACAATAATAACATTAGGTACGTACAGTTGATACCCATATATTACGCAGGGACATTATTAATTTTTAAGAGTTCTTACAGATATTAAATATTGGGGAATAAAAATGATAATTTGTACGGGAATGCGGAATTGAAAATACTAAAGAATGACGACTGTTCAACCGAGGTACATTGAAATTCAAATATGATAACAAATGACTGCAATTTGCCATGTAATGGTTTAACTTAAACATAAAAATATTGCAAGAAAGTTTTCTTCTGACCTCTAATGATTCCATACTGAAACGGTTGTATAAGGCACTTCTACAAAATACATTTATAATTAACTTATTTTCTATGCAACACCTATAAAATCTATTGACATCATTTTGCAGAGTTCGGCAATCCTCTAGTGAGATTATAGGTTTAACAATCTTGACATCATCAACATATGCTTAAATTTGACAGTGAAATAAATTAAGAGTTCTATTTACAAAAGCTAGGAATAAAATAGGACCCAGGTTAGATCCTTGAGTAACACCGCTGGGAGTTAAGAACTTATACGAACAGCAACTAGCATATTTCACATATTAAGATCTATTAAATAAAACGGATTGAAATAAATTAATAAGCTATCAAATTCATTACGTACTTGCTAAGATTCTACTGATTTTGGAAGATCTTTTATTGACAAATGACATATTCTCTAAGAAAATAGAGGTATTCCACTTGAAAAACACCTTATTTACAGGACTGGGATATAGTTCTCGATGTACTGATTCAAAAAAATAATGTGTTATGTGTTCAGGAGTAAAACTTTAGAAATATTTGGTTTTGTAGTAATTTTGTTTAAAAAATCTTAATAATTACATCTAATCTATTCGGAGTTTTTGAACAAATTGTAGAAGTTTTTGAAGAAATGAGGTCCAAACAAACTTCTCGAGGTCGAGATGTAAAAAAAAACTTCATGTAATTTTTGGATCTGGTCGAAAAAAAAAAAGAAAATTTTCAGATATCCCAGATTTTTTTGTGATTTTTTCTTATTGCTTGCCTATAAAAGACTCTAGAAAAAAGTTAAAATTAGCCCCGCCCACCCACCCGGTCTCTCATTGTTTTTCTTCTGAAATAAGAAATAAATCTTATAGCAAAAAGTACAACAAAAAAAAGTTACGATTAGAACTTGTTTTAATTTTTTTACAGTCCAAGTTCTATTAATTCCCAATTCCACTCTGCAAAAGAAAAAAATAATTAACCTAGAATATTTAGTGATTAATTTTATCTGCTCTGAATAAAACTTGTCGTTAAAATGACAAGAGGGCGGGTGGGTGGGGTTAGTACTTGTTAAGATACTACTGATTTTGGCAGATCTTATACTGACAAACGACATACTCTACGAAAATAGAGGTGTTTCACTTGAAAAACACCTTGTATACAGGGCTGGGATATAGTTCTCTGATTTTAAAAAATAATGTGTTAGTGTTTCTGTAGTCAAACTTTAGAAATATTTGGTTTTGTAGTCGATTTTTTTTACTAATTACTCCTAATTCATTCGGAGTTTTTGAACAAATTGTAGAAGTTTTTGAAGAAATGGGGTTTAAACTAACTTCTCGAGGTCGAAATCTAAAAGAAAAAAAACTTTAGGTAATTTTTGGATGTGGTCCAAAAAAATGTGAAATTTTCAGATATCCCAGATTTTTTTGTGATTTTTTTTATGGCTTGTCTATAAAAGACTCAAAAGTAAAAATTTTGGAAATATTTGGTTTTGTAAATTCAAGAAGATGCGTTACGGCAGATTTTTTCGCAGAAAACCGTATTGATTTTCATTGATAGAGCGTTCAATATGATTATACACATACTCTGCTGAGATTGATTCAAAAATTTTTCCAAAGTTTGACAAGATCGCTATCGGTCTATAATTCGTAACATCGTCTCTAACACTACACTTAAACACAGGAATTACTTTGGAAGTTTTCCAGACATCCGGAAAGACCGCAGTACTTAATATTAAATTAAATATGCAACAAAGAGGATGGCTTAAAACCTGAATACAATTTTTCATGAGAAACGATGGTACTTCATCAGGACCAGCTGTACATTTGTTTTTTAATTTTTTCACACTCTTTACGATATCTGCAAGAGTCTGATGAAACTTACGAAGAATATTTACATTATCACAGATGGGTGTAAAACAACATTCATAGTCAAATCTATATTCCACCTCCATTTTACCACGCACACTGTCACAGATCGTTGCAATATCAGAGTGGTCATTCTCAAAAACACTACTGAAGTAGAATGCAAAAGCCTCAACTATGTCTTGAGCCGTGTTCAGTTCAGAGCCGTATTAAATCAAGCTGCTATAAATCGGTTCCTAGGAATTGAAAACTTGAAAATAATATAGACAAAAACAGAGTTGGAATAGAATGCACAGAACCCATTCCAAAAGAAGCAATGAGATCGAAGAGATACAAAAAAAAAAAAACACTGTGAAATCACTAAGTGAAAAAAATCAAAGACAAACATCTAGTGATAGCGAAAACGGACAAAAGCAACACAATCGTGGTAATAGAGACAAGAGTACAACGAAAAAGTAGAGAAGTTTCTAGACAACATTAAGAGACAGAATTGGAAAATAAGATAACTTTGGTGTCGCTTCATATTCAAAACCTTTCACAAATATAAAAACAGAAGACGCACTACAACTGGCCTCTAAACTGATAAATAACTCCACTAGCAGACAAGATATAAAAAAAAGACAAGACGACAACAACTGAATTGCTTAGACCTCACGATCAAGAAAAAAGGAATCTAGTTGAAATATAGAATATACATAAAACCTACAAGTACGGTCACCACGATCAACAAGAACTCCAACCACCCACAGCAACACGAAGTGGCACCTTTTAAAGCCTTTCTAACTGAGTAGTCACTACACCAATGGGCACTGAAGGAAACACGGAAGAGCTAAACATTATAGAAAAAAGACACAACAACAAGAAGAAAAATAGACATGATTAAAGAACAAAGCAACAAGACCAAAAACAAGCTCAGGGTGACGGTGAATACGAAAAAACAAGGTCCAAGACCTCTTCAACGGTAAAGACAAAATCCCCCACAGAAGAAGAAGCTAGGGTCTACAAACCTATAAACAAGAATAAAAGAACACCTTAATTCGAAATAAATAACACTTAATTAAAATTAAATTCAATCACAACTTAGACAAAGAAAAGACGAAGTTCCTACACCTACAAGATGAAGGGTGAAATATTAGATGTGAAATAAAAATACCGACAGCAATAGAAGTAGAACAACAGGCGCTTTAGCCACTTTCATAATTTGATAAAATTCATTTAAATACATATTGTAGAATGTTGGAGGCCGTCTGATGAAGGACATTAAGACCCGAAACCGGTAACGTAAACTGAAATTAATATGGAGAGAAAAACGTATCCACAAGGGATTAACATAACCTCAAAAATATTTTCACTACTCATTTATTCATACTTGTTTTGTCTGCCTCTTGCAAGTCTGCACGAAACAAAGAAATTAGAAAAATTAAAGGATTCTCGGAAACCATATTTGCATTCAATCAATCTCTCCTAGTCGATAAAATGTATGCAAAGAGTGTTAGAACGTTCAGAATCAATCAGTTGTCCATAGCAAAATCCGACGAACACATTTACTGGATTCCTACATATACTTTTTTTTGTTTTTTATTTAGAAAACAATATCTTTCCTAAAAAATAAATAGAACGATTGTCCAATTAAGGGAAAAACGTCTATGGTCCGAAACTTTGTAGATCCTTTATGATTACGCATTTTTTAAGCCAGTAGCACTTTTGAGCAATTTTGACGTCTATATTTTTAAAACGTATATCGATGTGTTAATTAATGATAAACAGTAATGGGTAAAAAACACTTTATGTATGCTAGACATATAAATTAAAAACTTACCAAACATAAATTTAAAAATGTTGTTTTCATACTTTGATAACTTAGTGTCAAATTGTTGATATCTTACTACTGATAAATTTACACCAGTTATTTTCCAAATGGTGTGTCAGTGTCACGCCACATTGATGGAAACAAGTTGAAGAGGATATTCCAATAGGACTTCAAATTCATACACCTCAGAGGACTACAAAAGTGGTCCCAGATGTCCAGTAAATAAAAAAAATGATCTAAAGCTATTTAGACAGAATTTTCAGCTCCCTTGAGGCACAATCAATCGCTAAAATTAATTGATACATGAAGAATTGTAAATGCATATTATTTTACACATTTACGGTCAAAATTCCAGAGCAACCGATCCAGTAGTTCGGAGATCAAGTTTCTAACAAAATTGCCACAAAGAGATGAAAACGGAAAACGTGTAACCAACATATTTCAAAAAATTACTATAGTAGAATCATATCTAATAATAATTGAAATTATGATTGATGAAATCTCTGAATAATAGTAAAAAATAAGCACCTGTCAATCAAACAAAACTATTTTTAAATAACGGTAAAGCAATAAACCTTATTTGTTCCGTAACTTCGGAATTTATGAACATGACATTATTTTGATACACCCATTAACTAGCAACAGTTTATTCTATTGTTGTTCACACATTAATTTTAATGTTCATATAAAATGACAAATATGAAATGCATTGAGATGTGTTGAACCAAATAGAAACAACATTAATTGAAACAATCGGATCGCCAGTTCTTTCAAAAGTCTGATCAAACTTCCGTCACAACTTACACTTATTCAAAAAACAATTATAGTTACTTTTATCACGTCTCACCGTTGTACCTGTCAGCTTGTTTGATAGTGCTTAGCGACTAATTATTCTGCATTAAGGATAATCGCATCAAAACATTTTGAATAATTGAATCAGATATTATTAACTGGTTAGGAAAAGTCACGTCACCCGTAAAGCAAGGCTATATACTATATACCCACAAGCCGTCATCTCGTTATGTTTACGAAATCATAAAAATAAATCCCTCGAGCCAGAAACCATCACGAAATATTTACATTTCGTTTATTTTCAATGAACAAATCGATTTGCCTCGATGACGGCCGTCCAATCAACCCCACATTTTCGCCCGAATTCGATAAAGTCGATTTGATAATAATGTAATCAATCCTTACCTTTGTTTCCGCTCCACGTGTTGAGCTATAAGATTTGAGTAATAATTTTCTAGGGTTACTTTAGCTTTGGTGGCTTTGTCCAGGGTGTGGACACTGAAACGGATTGTGTTCTCCGTGGCAGTCATGTCCAGGACCCCTGTAACAAAAAGAGAAAGAATGTTAATCGAAGCCGTAGTTGTGACAGCACAAATGCTTTTAACAGTTCCGAGCGCACTTCACTCTTTCAAGATTTGCGAAACAAAAAAGAACACTGAAGGATTACGTCGTCGTCGTTTGCTACTTCAGGTGAAAATGTGTACGAAATCAGCGTTGTAGGCTGACAAAGAGAATTACAACCAGTGGACCGTTGTTGATGCTGAAGACAAACAAACAGGTACGATTATTTCATTAAACAAACGAATTCATAGACACCGTTTACACTGAGCTCTCTCCACTGTTTCCATGTTTGAAGTAGACTATTTGCTCTACACGAGTAGACAGAAAGGGCAACGCCGGGGCTCCGAGTTATACATTCCCACGTATTTTGGTGTGACCCTTTTTAGGCGATAATATTACATAAAACATACTCCAGAGCAGCAGAATTGCTTTCATTGAATCTTTTACAACGTGTCTGAATGTATGTACATGCGTTCGAACACCTTGCATTGAATTATTCATTAAAGCAAATGCACTCATTCGGTGCATATCAAGATACAGATTTGCAATTTTATTCGTCAAGTATTAACAAAAGTCTAGCTGCCTAGGATAAAATCTCAAGACGGATTCATAAACTACAAGTACAAGGATATATTTTACGAAATTTGAATGCCATTTACCATGCAAAATTCTGAGGTGACGTTATACAGTTAGTCAAGTTCCATTTCCTGATAAATTATAAAATTTGCAAATTTCGGTTTCCAGTTTCTACTTCTTCATATTCTAGGAACTATGAAACGTTGAGAGAACATTAATGACTGTGACGTGCTTACGAAAAACTAAGTACGGTGGTATAAATACTCGTTTTTGTACTTCCACTATTAACAATTATTATTGAAAACAAAGTGGTTTTCAAAAAGTCGCAGTTCCCAATAGAACGCTTTGTTAACAGCATATTTCAATATTTTAGGTAAACAATACTATAAACACGGTCAACCATTTTGACGCTTTGAAATAATTGAGTTATTATTTCGATAAACTTCTCTAATTGTTGTCCACAACCTTGTTGTCATCATTTTTCATATCCCAGGCGCGTTTTTTTTTCCAAAATTTATTTTGCTATCTATAAAACCTCGGAAAAACTTAACACCATGAACATTGAAATAATGTAAATGTAGGTAAGCAAATTCGTGAAAAAATTGGCCGAAAGTTATCTCGACAGTACTTCCCTCGTCCCTCAAGTACAGTAGAACAAATCCTGCTTCTTTAAAAAATTATAAAAAATGTTTGCAATTTTTGTTTTCAGATATCCTTTACAAAGTAAATAATACTCCCGCAGCCCCTGCACCTGGGGGCGCAAATTCCAAGGGTCCGTACATGTGCAGACCATATGAAATATATTTAAGGCAAATAATCCTAGTATCGATAAAACGAGATATAAAAAAACTTGAAAAATCGAAAAACTGAAAAGTCAAAAAATCAAGTACATATTTTAAAAAATCAAAAATCCGAAAAGTTAAAATATCGGATAATTGAGAAATTCAGAAGCTGAAATGTTGAAAAATTGAGAAATCGAAAAATTAAAGTAGGTAAAAATTAAAAAATCGAAAAATGTAAAAATTTAAAACGTGGAAAAATTGGAAAACTGAAGGAACGAAAACCTGAAAAATTGTGAAACTGAAAAGAGAAAAATTGGAAGATCGAAATCGAAAAGCCGAAAAGTCAAAAATCGAAAAACCGGAAAAACGGAAAATCCATGTATTTAAAAAATTGAAACAACAAAAAATCGAAAAGTCGAGAAATTGAGACGTTGAGCAATCGAAACTTCGGAAAGTGGAGAAATCGAGAAATGGGAAAATAAAAAAAATCGAGAAATCGAAAAGTCGAAAAATCGATTAATCAGAAAATCTCAGATTCAAAAGCTCCAAAAATTGAAAAATCCGATAGAATTCACAACGTGCTATTCGAACATTTCTGAAAATTGACGAAAGAATTTTTTTTTTATACATTTCGATTTCCAGAAGTTTTCGTCTTCATTTTCTGGAAAATTTTCACCATTTTTCAATAATTTACAATATGAAATAAAACATTTTTTTAGAATTTGAATATTCACAACGAATAACATCATTACAATTATTGAGATGGTAGTAGGAAGGTGGAGCTTAAATTTTGCCTTTTGCCTGATATACAATCTTTTCACGAATATACCTAAAAAACGTTTAAAATGATGAATTTTTGTCGGAAAACATCGATTTTACAATTAAGCTCCACCCCTCAGTCTGACAACGAAGGAATAATTCATCACAATTGAGATTGGGGTGGGTGGGCGGGGTTTATATTTTGCCCTTTTTTTTTCATAACATCCGTATGTACTTCTTTTCACAAGAAACTGAAAACATGTTTAAAATGGTAAATTTGCAGAGAAGTGTATGGGATAAAATTTACCATTTTAAACAAGTTTTCACTTTCTTGTTATGGAGAAAAAACAATTGTTGCAAAAAGAACACTACGAATATTAAGGAAAAAAAAAAACAAAATATAAGGTCCGCCCACCCACCCCATCTCAATTGTGATGACTTTTTTTATTCATCGTGAGCCACGAGGGTGGAGCTTAAAATCCTTATTTCTCTACAAGAAATTATCATGTAAACATGCTTTTGAGTATCGTGTTGTTCAAAGAATACTATATATATTAAATAAAAATAAAGCCAAAGATTAAGCCCCACTTACACTCATCTCCACCCAAAAAAAAAAAAAACTAATAATCTTTAATAAACTCATGGATAAAAGATTATCTTGAACTGATTTAATTGACGATAACGTTTTTCTGCTCCTTTATAATAGTATAAAATTTGATTTTGCTATTTTCGCTTTTGTGATAACAACGGAAAACTTGGAAAAACATCTGGAATGGACTCAATTACAATACTTCCTTAGCTCACGCTCGGGAAGTAAAAATGAATCGAATCATATTTAAAAAAAAAAAATTCTTCGTTATATTACCACGTACGATTATTGGCAAAAAAATCATGACAAACTGATTTTTGACTGTCTAAAGGAAATCTTACTTATCTATGTATAAGCAAAACACCAAACCCAACTTACGTGGATTCGTCTGTTAAATGTATTCACGTACAATATTGATTTCAACGAAATTTTATTACTGTGGAAATGGCGGATTTTTATTGCCTAGCAATACATTTATCTTATCTCCTCGCACAGATATCAATGATTATGGTACAGGCGTGCCTTATTCACACTGTTTAAAATGAAGCATAGCTAACCGCATTTAAAAGAATTCTATATCAATGCATAGAAAAAATATTTAATCGTTATTTTACAACAAATATTGAGTGTACACCACTATTTGAGTGCTATCGTAATCGTCGAAATTCCATTAATATATTCAAAATCTACAGAAATTTTTTAATTAGAATTGCACTCGTAACTCAGCCAAACATATATATAATCCAGAAATTGTATCTACAATAAAACATGTAATATACCATAACTCGTGAAGTGGCAGTTTTCAATCTCTTTAATTTAACATTACAGCCTTTTTATTGGTCTTCATATTTTAATAACTATTTAAATTTACGACGCCGGTTCCAAGGCATTAAAAAGCCATAAACTAACCAAAATTTAAACGGCACTCCGAGAATAAAACGGTGGCTTTATGCAAGAATTCCCGATGAGTAAGAAGAAACCTTTCGTTGCGATTTCACAACGTTGAGTTTTATTGCACACCTTACGAAACATCAAAATCGAACACCAACGCGTTTTTTGTAACAAAAATCGCATAAATTTGCCCTCAACCCCGTAAACGTCCGCGCACTTAACACCCACCTAAACAACAATAGAAACAAATATCCAACAATAAACTACACGTAATTCATCGCCGCTAATAGTCCGTACTCGTTCAAAAACAATAGGACAATTTGAAATACCTCGCTGGTGATGATGATGATGATTGCGACTCAACGACCGCTCTTTTCCTGCCGCTTATGGATTTTCCTCATCTTCGAGCGCGAAGCCACGAAAGAACCAACTCGCAGACAATACAGCACTGAACAGGTATTTTACGTCGTCGACTTTGCCGAAAACTTTTATCAAAATACCGAGAATCGCCCGACCGGCTGGGCTTGTAAAACCAACAAAAGCAACGGAGTGTTAGAATGGGCGAGTGTGTGCGCGTATGGATGATGATGATGACCGATTGTCCGTTCAACGGCCGTGAAAAACCACCATATCGCAAGAGAGAATGGTCGGTAATGAGCAGTCGACCAAGATAAACTTTTTCCTTGCGGATTAGCCACAAATTACCAAAGGGTGAAAAAATTATTAAAGTTCCAGCAGGCTTCGTCGCCAGAAAAAAAAATTACCCAGTCACCAAGTGCCAACGACGCGTGAAAACCACTTACGGAATACATTCATCCTTTTATTTTCAACTGTGTAATATTTGATTTTTTGTGTATTCTTGGGTGTAGGGATTCAAAATTAATCTAAATCTTCGAAAACAACTTTCTAAAACCACTATCCACTTAAAGTTAACACGGTACACGCTACCGCCCGATGCTCCAGACAGATGACCATTGTAAACGCACCTTAAGACTACATTCATGTACCATTTAAAAGCAAAAAAAATTCGAAAGTTCCGGGAGGGTTATCCGTGGAAAACTAAACAGGTAGTGAATTCTCGGAATTTGGGATTTTTGCAACCATCTACAATAATAGGTTACGTCTTTTTCAGGTGGCCGACATTGTAAATTATGGCTTGGTCTGTGGGGCGTCTCATTGACTGGCGACTTTCTGTTTGGAGATAAAAGGATAAGCATTGTACAAAACAAAAAATCAAAACGTTTTTAAAATACAAAGGTCGGTAACAGTAATAAATTTATTTATTCTGTGTTGTGTTTTTATGAGGCTTATTTTATTTGCGCCGATTTTATTTACGGCATGATTTATTGTTATGGAATTAACGTGGTGCTGTAAAGGTACGCC